AATGATAACAAGTGCTAATAATTGCCAACATTTAATATGTCAAGCAATATTTGGAGCACTTCACCTGTAACAATGCAGTTAATCCTCATGACAGCCTTAAGAGTTTGATAAGATCATTAATTTACCCTATATTAATTTATACAATATTAATTTTCTCTGATAGATAGCAATGCTACTAAGTATGAAATGTGGTTTGGAGTAACTTTGGAACTCCTTGTAACTCTATTAACACGTGTACTATAAAATTCTCTCTCTCTCTAGACTGTGAACTCGTCAATGAGAAAAACCAGATCTTTGTATTCCCTGGTTTGTCTGCCTTATAGAAAATATACAATAAATATATTCTAAAGAGAATCTATCTGCTTCGGCGGATAGAAATGAGTACTGCACTCAATGCAGAAATTCATTTCATTTAAGATTTCAGTGGCTACAAAAGAAGGGGCCAATTGTATCTTCTTCATTCACAATACTTATTTTCACACTTGGAGATGAGAGTTTTATAGTAATTATTAAGATCCATTCATCAGTTTGTATTGAGTAACAACAGAGACTTTTTTCTTGAGTGTTATGGATGATATTGCTACTTTTGAATCGCTGCTGTCAATTCAGCATTTTCATCAATTTCTGTTGTTTTCATGAGCCACAGAATCAACCACAACATAATCCATTCCTTTCATCTGGTTTTGCTCAAGGCCTAGTCCCTATAATTAATTGAATCAAACGTGTAGAAATTTTAGCCAGCTATTAGACAATAGAAGTAACCAGAGACCAGGCCACAGTATGAAGAGTCTGGTAAAGTGGCCACAAACATGGCTGAAGTCAGACACACTGAAATTTGCATATCAGTGAACCGCAAGCAATGTAATAGACTGCATTATTGCAAAAAGTCCTTATGTAAAATTCTTTTCTGCAGTAGAACATCAAAGAAAACAAATGCCAAAAATCTTTAAAGTCATTATAATAAGTCTGTTTGAACCCTCAAAATTTCCTTCGGAACATTTCTTGAAATCGGCGAATTGCCTTGAGACATTTCAGGTAAGAGTCAGGGATTAAATGACTTATGTACAATATATTTATTTTCTGATTACATAAGTATTTAAAAAATAGGACTTTGACATAAACTTAAAACATTCATATATTAAATGGTTTGTGGCCTGGGGTATCTAACCTTCTGAGTCATCATTTTATCGGCTTATGGAAATGCTATGATTGTTTAGGAGTGTGTTTTTATATTCCAACAGGGATATGGGGTAGTTAGAAAAGCTCTAACTTCCTTTAGACTTTTACTATTCAGTAATACAAATTGACCCTCATTTAAAAATGCAACTACCTATGCTAATGGTTAATAAACATCTCTTTTGAAATAAGCATACAACCTTTTTTAGAGAACAATTTTGATTGCTATTTGCAAGAATTGTTAATGTTTCTCTCTCATTCTTTTTGCAGAACTGGATTGGAGTTTAGATAGTCCCACCCATTTCAGCAAAGGATTATGATTTTTAGGAGATGGCTGGAGACAAGCCAAGTTGGTTGGTAAGGATCTAAGTATATAAAGACAGTATCATCTTAAATATAAACACCAGTTTCTTGGCAGTCTAAAGATCAATGTCCAAATACTACTAAATAAAAAGAAGGAAAAAATAAAATACTGAGAGGTAAGACAGAGGTAGGTTATTGACTACTGTAAAAGGGGAGATGCCTACATCTACTCTGCGAAGAAAAAGATGGTATAGAGTCTTAGCCAGACAGAAGCTTAAAGAGAAGTCATATATTCTGCAAAGACTTCTTTTGGAACAATATTCATCAAGAACTTGAGGGGTAAACTTGGGCTTCCTGAAGTCAAGGATGACCTATGGCTTCCTGGGATTTTAAAAACATGGTCTTAACCTTAGCCTGGAGATAATCAGATCTCCTGTCTAGACTTGTGTGAGTTCAGCGTGGATTTTGTAAACACAGAACTCTCTTGCACTATGGTTAGATGCAATCAGGCAATATAAGACTCAAGGAAAATAGAATTTTCCAAAGAAGTACTCCACATGAAAACAGAACTGCTAGTAGCTGCAGAACCTCACTCCCACTCCTTATGAGCTGAGAGGTGCACACCTCTACACATAGGCAGAGAATGGTAAGATCTGGGGTCTGTGGAGCAGCTGAAGGAGTGCGGGCAATGTTTGAAGGAATGCACATCCTTTATTAGTATTGGTTTAATTTTCAATTAAAATATCAATTCAGTAATACAATTTATGGTGAAATGGATAAAAATTTCGGTCCATAATAACAGGTATGCAAGACATCTCTCTCTTTTATTTTTCTGTAGTTCAGCTCAATTCTTCTTCCTAATCCTATTCTACCTGGGTGGCGGACACACAATCTCATTTGATAGTTGGTTGTTTCCTTTTCTAAGGATTATTTCTGAGTTAGGAGGTAGATTCAGAACTGAGATTGTAGGGGTACCCCTCCGGACATCACTGTCATTTGTCTACCTGGCAATCACAGTTAAGGTACACATTTCTAATCTGCTTGAATTCTCTAGGTACATAGCTTTCTCCACAACTTCTGGGGCAGGATCAAGAGGAGCTGAATCATTACATTTCTTCTATGCCATTGCCAGGGCATATTTCCACACTCTGTGAGGCCATGTGAGGGCTCCGCTGTCCAGACTCCTCTAGTAAACTGCTTTTTATCAGATCCCGTAAATCCATTTTGGATTTTACCTCTTCTCTAACACCCTTCTAGGAGAGAGAAAGCACAGAGTCCCTTTCTCTGGAACCCAGCAGTATCTACACTGCCATGATGCCCGTGCCCCCTTCAATTCACATCACCTTCATACCAGGGAAAACTTTTCTTGTCTCTAGAAAAGAGATAGATTTTCTCAACCTCAGCACCATTCACGTTTTGGACCAGATAATTCGTTATCGTGAGAAACTGTCTTACGCATTGTAGGATATTTAACAGCATCCTTGGCCTCTGCCCAACAGATGCCATCAACCCTCTCTTTCCCAAATCATGACAACCAAAAAGGTCTCTAGAATTTGCCAAGTGTCCCCTGGGAGGGAAAAATCACCCCAGTTGGGAACCACGACTCGAGAAGAAGCCCCCTATTGAAATCTCACTTCTTTCAAATCTTTTGTATAAGCTCTAAATTCTCAAAATGCCATATGGGCTTATCATACCACATCCAGACTAAGAGCAGGGGAACAATATTTGAAAGGAGAAAAAAGTAGTATATTAAAAATAAAATCCTTCCATAATAATGCGTCTTCTTGATCATATAATATCTTTTTCCTATTAAGTAAATGAATACTAGAGCTTGCATGAAGTCTTTGCAAGAACTATCATAGTGTTGTGCTAATTATCACCTACAAGTGGGTGTAGAGCTAATAAGACATCCTCTGTATTGACAGGTAAATAATTATGAAGAAGTATATAAGCTTTTCTTCTTCTTTAATTGAGTAGTTTAAAAATTGTTATTGTAAAATATTTTAGAAATTCAAAGCTGTGTAAAAATAATCTAATAAATACCTATATGTCCACCATTCCTTTTAGAAACTAAAATATTACTAGTACAGTTGAAGTTCCCGTGGATTGTCCCTGATTGCATTTTCAGGGAATCCCCTATGTTGAATTTGATGATGAGATGTACATAATCATATGGAAGTTCTCCCTCCTGGGCAACAATGGTGACCCATATCGCTGCTCCAATATTCAACACTTTGGATTTGGCTATTGGCAGTAGAAATTTTCAAAATCAAAAATGTTCAGAGAGAATTAGGACGATAAGCTTTGGCTTATTCAAAGTGAGAAATCTTCTAATGTTCTGATAAAACAAAGGATAATAACTAAAATATCCACTCAAATAGCTCGATGTGTCTTTGAGATACAAGTCAGTTTCAGTCCCATTCTCCCGACCTTGTTTACAACCTCTTTCCCTCATTATACCAGCTGCCTGAAAGAGGAATAAAACATCTTAAGTTGAGAGCTGAGGGTCACATACCCTTCAGTTCTCTCTATAATTCTCTCCCTTCCCATTACTTTCCCTCAATCTCAGTCACTTTGTTCTTTGTAATAAAATACAAGAACTTCGTCACATTGTAGCTTTAATCCAAGCTCTTGCTAATGAGGAGAAATGTGATATTGAAGGAATAGTCACTCTTTCTCAATAGTCAGCCTCAAATATATTTTTATAAGATAAGAAATACTGTCAAAGGATAATCGTAACCAAGGGCTCTCTAGGACCAGTTCAAACTGACCTCATCTTATCAACAGAAGGTTTCAGGGTTGGGGGATGGGGGGAAGGCAAGCCCAAAATTTGCATGTAGCCAGAGCATGCAGAAGAGAAAATCTTGACCTGGAATGACCTCAGATCCAAAGACTCCTCTCACAACAGAACCAAAGGACTGGAAGGTGACCTGAACTTGAAAATCAGCCTCTCATCAGAGGGGAGGGGTCTGTTGTCTAGGAATATCTGGTATTAAAGCCCCTTCCACAACTTACCATAAATGTTTAAAACCTTACCATAAATGTTTAAAGCTCTCTCACCAGCGTTTTCGTGTACCAGCCTGTTCTCCCTAACCTCTTAAATTTTGCCCCAAATCCTGAATTGGGGACACAGATCTGAAAGCATGTGCCTCCTGGCTCCTTGCAGTTGGATCTCCTAATAAAGCCTTTTCTCAAAATCTGATGCTGTAATAATTGACTTCTTATGCACATTGGGTAGGAGAACCCACTTTTGTGAGTTAATGTAATAATGCTTTTATCTGCTGTCAGTAAAGTGATACAATTTCTGGGGAATAAACATACATGGAATTTGCAGTAGTACAGCCCATGTAGTGTTGGGCATGAACAGATTGGAAGGGAGCAAAATATCTCTCTCCCAAACGTGCTTCTTTGGCATAAGGATTAATTTATGCTGATTATTTTTAAGAAACAGCAGATATAGGAGAAGCTCTGAAAACCAAATAGAAGTTACTCTTTTGTAAGATAAATTTACATTTCTAAGGGAAATCTCCATTTGTAAGGATGTCTCCCTTGCCATACTAGGAAGAGGGGGATGACTAAATCTCCACAAAGTCTTATCAACGGAGAAGGCAGAGACTTAAATCTGCACTGCAACCATACCCTCAATTACTGTGCTCTGCTTGGTAAACCCCATAACTGGCTTCTCTCCCCACAACATCTCCTTTTGCCTTTAGTGGGAGATGGAATTTAAAGTGGTGACTTGGGCCATTTTTTTGGAGTTACTCAGTGTTTCTGGGTACTCCCATGTATACAGAAAGTATACATGCTATTAAACTTCTGTTTGTTTTTCTCCTGTTAATCTGTCTTTTATTACAGGGGGGATCTCAATCAAGAAGCTAGAAAGGTAAAGGAAAAATTATTTTTCCTCCCCTACAAGATCAAATAGTAATAACCCTAACTAACACTTAATGGTGACCCATGGAAAGGATGTGACACTGTGAAGTGAGGATCGGTTTCCAGCTTGTACTCCCAGTAGGAATTGTCACTTCCTGCTAACATTCTTTATGTCACTCAGTGTTGAGGATTCTCACCACAGCAGGGCCCTCCTCCTCCTAAAAAACATAGAGAGTTTGGGTTAGAAAAATGGAGTTACAAAATCACACAACTATTTTCCAAGATAATAAATATTATGTAATATTTTGCAGATCATATTGAAGGGAAGCAAAATTTTCTAAGAGTATGGAATAATAAAGACAACTCAATAACTGAAGTTTGATTTCTTAAATAAATGTATAACTACAGAATAAGAATTATTAAGGTTTAATAATATGGGCCCTGAAGCAGGAAATAGACATTCTTGCAAAGACAGAGGGGGACAGAAGACACATGGAACATTCAGAAAAGGATAAGAACCAGAATAGATGCTGCCTTCCTTAGATACTTTGATGAATGGTTAGCACCATTTCCTTGGACAAGAGGAGGGACTAAATAAAAATTTGTTGTATACTTGAGAGTTTGCTCAATGTAAATAGGTATGACAAGAACAAGCATATTTGTAAGTATTCTTTGTGTTTAAGCTTACCTTTATTTATTTATTTATTTTTAAAGATTGGCACCTGAGCTAACAACTGTTGCCAATCTTCTTTTTTTCCCATGGTTTTTCTCCCCAAATTCCCCCAGTGCATAGTTGTATATTCTAGTTGTGTGTCATTCTAGTTGTGGCATGTGGGATGCCAACTCACCATGGCCTAATGAGCAGTGCCATGTCCACACCCAGGATCCAAACCAGCAAAACCCTGGGCCGCTGAAACAGAGCATGCCAACTTAACCACTCAGCCACAGGGCCAGGCCCCATGAGTAAGAATTCTCCATGTTTCTTTTTTCCTTTTTCATCTAAGGATGGAGGTACATGTTCCAGGGTCTTTGTTGCATTGATTGGAGGAGGGAGTACCAGGAGGTTTAGAAGAGCAAAAACCTAGATTTTCTCTCTTTTTTTTTTTTTTTTTTTTACTGAGGAAGATTGGCCCTGAGCTCACATCTGTTGCCAATCTTCCTCTTTTTGCTTGAGGAAGGTTGTTGCTGAGCTAACATCTGTGCCGATCTTCCTCTATTTTGAATGTGGGTTGCTGCCACAGCATGGCTTGATGAGCAGTGTAGGTCCACGCTCAGGATCCGAACCCACTAACCCAGCCACAGAATCAGAGCACACTGAACTTAACCACTACGACACAGGGCTGGCCCCCTAGATTCATTTTTTTTAGAAAGAAAGAACAGTGAACTCATCCAAGAAAAGCCAATTGAAATTCAAAGATTGAAGAGGATGAATAAAATTATTAAGAAGAGGTGGCCGGCTCCATGGCCCAGTGGTTAAGTTCGCGTGCTCCACTGCAGTGGCCCAGGGTTCGGATCCTGGGCGCGGACACTACACCGCTCGTCAGGCCATGTTGAGGTGGCGTCCTGAATCCCACAACTAGAAGGACCTGCAACTAAGATATACAATTGTGTACAGGGGGGGTTTGGGGAAATAAAGCAGAAAAAAAAAAAATGGAAGATTGGCAACAGTTGTTAGCCCAGGTGCCAATCTTAAGAAGAAAAAAAAAAAACAGAATAAAAAAAAAATTATTAAGAAGAAAGTGTGGGGGAGTAAAATTTGCCACTCCAAAAATGTCTCTTTGGCATGAAAAGCTTTTCTTTTACCTCCCCCTTAACTGGTTAAAAGAAGTTAGGTAGAGGGCATGTTTTGGGAAGAGAACTATCACCAGAGATAAATACAAAGAATACGGGCAAGGTGTGGTGGGGGCAGCTCAACAGTGACTGGAGACCCAAGTTCTCTCTGTACCCCATTGTCTCTGCGTGGCATGGCAAACATTTATTTACCAAATATCTGCTTTTCCCATCTTCTTGTAAATTGTCTGCCTCTCTTTTGAAGTCCCAGACCCATAACCCCTTCTCTTTCACTCAGAATAGCATATAAACCTCAATTTTCACCTCATTGTCTTGTGGAGCCCCTGTACACACACGATTAAATTTTATTTTCTCCTGTTAATCGGTCTCATGTCAACTTAATTCTTAGACCAGCCAAAAGAATTTACAAGAGTAGTGGAGAAATTTTTCTTCCCCAACAGCTGACAAACTCAGCCGGATAATCACTGGCTGGAAAAACAGCTTTCTCCTGAGACTGCCACAGATGAAGAGATTCTGGGACGTGGGACAAAAGCTAGCAGAAGGTAAGATCTTTTACAGCATCAGCCTCCTAAAATCTCTGTCTGTGGGGTCCAGTGGAAGGGAAAAATGGTTAGCGTCTTTTTCTTTTCCTTTCTAAATTTAGATTAGCAGGAGAACGTATTTGGGAAAGTAGTTTCTCGGGCTTGGCAACTGTGGTAATTTGGTACAGTACTCTTTTCTTTATTGATCCATTTTCTCCTAGAGATGGTCTCTGCTTTTCCTTTTCTTTGTCTTTCGTGCCACTTGTCACAAGGAGGGAAAACCACAGGGTAGGAATGCAGGTCTAGGCCTTAATAAACCTGTTGTTTGAGCTGGCCACACAGCCTGGTGAGTTCATGGTTCTCACCAGACTGGCATCTGTTTAGACAAACTGCCATGGGTTAAGATGCACATGAGGTGGAAGCTGTTGCTAAGGGACATCTTGGAAGCCAAAATTGATGGGCATGGGGCAAACATTTAAGAGCCATTAGGGCACTTGCCACCTCAAGAAGCCCCCATGATAGGATAAGTTGGTCACAGAGGAATGCGTGTGTTGACACTAGGTTACTCACCAACCTCAAGAAAATTTATTTGCAATGAGGTACTCTATAAAACAACACACAATCCCCAACCCCATAGCACAGCTCTCGTAAGTATTTGTTTGACAACAAGAGATCCAGGGCTTAGCTGTAGCTGTTAATGTGAATATAAGAAAAACCAGATGAGACTTTTTCTTGTCTCTTGTTCTGTGACCTGAGAGCTTGGCTTTATGACCTGTGAGAATGTTCTCTCTGGCCTCTGCCATCTAGAAGGTGCACTTACTGAGGTGCATCTGGCGGCCATTAGAAAAAACTAGAGTTCCAAGACACAAAGTCACAAGCCGCGCTCTCTTTGTCTGGCCGTGCCAGCTCTCAAGGGAGTTTGTCATACGACATCCCAGTCCATCAGAGGCCTTTGTCATATCAACCTTCATTATTTGTTACTGCTAGAAAAGCCTCATTCCAGTAGTGCCTGCCTGGTGCCACAAATTAGTGGATTTGTGACTGGAGGCATCCCACATTCCCAAGGGAGACCAAAGACATTGTTTTCACTACACCATCCTTACCACCTGTGCAACAAAGGCCTTTGCTTTCTTAGAGTATCCTTTGGGAATGAACTTTCTGGATCTTGTGAGGACTGCATTCTTTGCACTCTCTCGGGACACCTCTCACATCTTTTGTTAAGCCATAAAGGCTTATTGGTTTGAGTCACTATTGAGATTAATGTAAGATCCTACTTGTCAATAGTCAAGTGATGGATTCTTTAAATTGGCTATATTTGAAAAGAAAATTTATAGAGAGTTCTCATTCTAGACAATTGTTGGCAACTATGGAAAGACCAAATTAAAAAGTAGATACAAAGAAATATAACAACTAACAGAGATTAGACTTAAAAATTAAAGTCCACATCTAATGTAAATTCCCCTTCTTAAAAACCACCAAGGTAACAGGCAATCCTCCTCAGATATCTTTCATTCCTTGGTCAAAGGCCAAACTAAGGGCCATAGGTAAGGAATTTCTCAAACCCAGGGAAGATCCTCAAAAGATTTTATAAATAGGTTACCTCCTGAGATTAGTGGATAAATAAAAAAGGTGGAAAATAAGATGAAAGGCCACAGTCAGACTGAACTCATAACCAGAGTTGATATTCAGAGCCTGATAGAAAACTTTTCATCCTCTTCTCCTAAGCTAAGATAAAATTGTGTACCCAGAGGGGAAGAAAAACCTTCTAAAAGCACTTTCTAAAAGGATTTATGGATGGATCAACCTATGATTTAATTTAGAGTGCAACCCTATTCTTTGAGGAATTAAAAAAAAAAAAAAAAGGCTGTCCTTGTTTTACTAATCTAGTCTTTACGGGATCAGAGGTGTGGTTCCAGAAACAATTCAAAGTTCACCTTCCCTTTTCACCAATCCCAAAACATCCCTTTTTATCTCAAAAGGCTTGTAAATTACTGGCCTTAGGAAACCCAAGTGCTTCTGGGAGGAACTTGGATACTTCCTCTGTGCCTTTGTAATAGATTTTCTACCCTAATCTTCTCTGGGACCTAAGAATCATTCTTTGAAATGCAAAAATTCAGAGAGGGGTTTTTCATCAGAATAAAAGAAGAAGGAGAAGAAACTATTTGAAATTGGGCTAATTAAAATCTTAAATATACTCTCCACAGATATTAGTAGAAGGCTTTGGGCATCTGAGCAGATGAACTTAACTTATTCCAACTGCGAAAACAAAATTTGGATCCAACTGTTCTTTTATAAAGTAGTGAGTTTTGTACTATTACACTCATCTCATAACTTCAATTTTTTCTAAAAAGTGAAAGCTATAAAATTCCTTTTTTCACATCTCTCTGTATGTTTGTGCACATGTCTATAAGTGTATATTATAGGTGTGTGATATTTTTCTACCTCCACATGGTATTACTAAAGTTAATTTGTAAAAGACCTCTATTTAATTGGGTTAAACATCAAGTACTTGTAAGAATTGGCTATTCTAAAGCTCTCAGAAATATAGAAACTAACCCCAATGCATTTCAGGTTCATGTGATCTGGGAAAATATTCAGTATTGAAATTAATTTAACTTCATTGGTTTAATTAAAATAGATATGTCTTTAGAATTTTCAACACTGAATATAAAGCAGACATATGATTCTTATTCTATCTGGGTTTACCAGTCAAATAAGTTTATGTTACATTTCTTAAAAAAAAATACATCAGCAAAAAAAAAAGAAATTGCTTAGGATGATGGCTGACTTTGTATAATTTCTCAAGAAGTTTATGTGAGTAATTTAAACAAAATTGTTGGGAGCAAATAATTTAGGTAGATGTTGGTGGGATAAGAGTTTTCAGGTGCAATAATTATGTTTTATGA